TAGCGATTTGTCCCATAATGTTGCGAAGACCACGTTGTTAATTACTAAGGCGCGACCAAATAGGGATGTGTGCTTATTTCTTCAGTTATCATCTAATTTTTGTCGTGCCGGGGCACTAATCCATTCATCGTTGATTAGTGGGCRTCCCACGGTAATCATGAAAACCCCAAGAATTCTTACTGGGGTCTCTAAAGGCATTCATTTAATACGTGGTGACTCGGGGGGGTGTCCCCCTTGATAATGAATCCACCATCCTTGAGTTTTTGTTCGCCTTGTTGACTGTCATGTCGGAAACCTTGACAAACTTTTCCATCATTTGTTGGATTCCCTCCATGTTGTTGTGTGTGGCCTCTGCCAAGATAGTGAGATCATCCGCAAAAAGGGAGCACACCGGGATTGCCTCCTCCGGGATGTGTGTGACTCGGATTTTGGTAATGTTCTTATTTGCTCGGAGGTTGGCGGCTAGTGCTTCCATGATTACCAAAAATAGGAAGGGAGCAATTGGGTCCCCCTGGCGGACCGAACGTTCCAAGCGCAGGGGTGGTGCCATGCATCCATTAACTTGAATGCAGGTGGTTGCATTCTGATGCAGGATCCGAACCTTGTGTCTGAAGTCATATCCAAAATCCATTTTTTCCAGGCATTTATCTAAGAACAAACAGTCCACGTGATCGTAAGACTTTTCGAAGTCGATAAAGACCAACGTTGCGTTCTGACGAGAGTGTCTCGTGAGTTGGAGTACCTAATGGATTAAAAGAATATTCTCTTGTATATTCCTGTTCTCCATAAAGTCGGTTTGAGAGGGATGAATGATGTCTTTCATTACAAGGATCATTCTGTTAGGCAGTGTTAGCTAAGACTTTAGACAACATTTTGTATATTACTATGAGAAGTGTGATAGAACGGTAGTTTCTAATATCCATTTTATCCCCCTTTTTATATAGGAGGGTCAATACTCCTTGCCCCACCCTTTCACCCATCTCGCCCATGAGCCATACTTCTTTATAGAAGTCCATGATGTCCTAACTTAGGAAGTCCCATGTGGTCTCCCAAAATTATTTGGGGAAGCCATCAATCCCTGGTGCCTTTTCCTTTTTCATTTGCAGGAGGATGGTCCTGATTCCCTGCTTGGAGATTGAAGCCTCTAAAGAATCACGTTGTTTATATGTCAATGACTTATTTACTGATTCCAAAAATTCTTTTAGTTGACGATCGTGGTACCATGAGTTTGATCTGTCAACGTGCGAGGCGAAAAAGTCTTTGTAGAAGTCATATGTTATCTTGGTGCAACGAGCCGCGGACACAGCTGGATTCGACTCCATGGCTTGTGGTTCGTAGAGCGCCTCGATCGTTGTCCTTTTGAAGCGTGGCCTAGCTAGGCTGAAGAAGTGAGCATTCATCGCTCCTTTGGTCAAGAGTCTGGATAACCTTGCTCTTATTTGGGCTCCTTGCCATCAATACTGTGCATGCTTTAAGAGTTGAGCTTTTAAATCTAGTATTTGGGTTTGTAATTTGTCGGAGGTTGGTTCCTGCCCTTGCGAAAATTGTTTTTGTTCAGCGTCGATGAAATTTTGCATTATCGTGATTTCTTGTTGGTATCGCTGTGCAACTATATATTTGGAATATTTGTTGCATTTTTTTGCCAAAAAAAACAATCTGTTGTTAAACCATGCAATTTGAGAGTCTTGTTGGGAGCAGTGATCCTTCCAAAAGTTCAAAATCTGCTGTAGGTACTTCTGGAAGGATTTAAACTAGGGCAGAGAGGTGTTGAGTTTATAGTAGCTGGCCCCCTGATCTGGTCGTTTCCGGAAGGTCCTAACTGCCATACACATTCTGTGGTCCAAGCCTGAATGCGGCTGATCGGCAGTATTGCTGCTAAGGTAAGCCCTCCACCCAAGTCTTCAGACGCAAGGATTAGATCTATTCTAGATTTTGACAGTCTGTCGGGGTTATTGTTTCGCAAACAAGTAAAGGCCTTTTCGGTGGGGTGGCTACGCTTAAAGGTGTCAAAAAGTGAGAGGGGGGTACACAAATCTTTCAACATCCTCTCGTCCTCCTCTGCGTTGTGTGCGGTAGTAGGAGGGGTTCTCCAACGGTCCAACTATCTGTCCGGTGCGACATTGAAATCTTCTGCTGAGATTACCGAAATATCTGGGGTGGGGATCATTTCGATCTTTTCGGAAAAAACCCTTCTTTCTCAGGGAGTGTTGGGAGGGTAGATGGATACAATGCATATTATTTTTAACTCCAGCATGCCCAACACTTTAACCCATCGTCCTTCCACCTTATCCTGTTCCCAGTTGAGTACTTCAAAGCGTGATTCGGGCGAAATCCATATACCTACCCCGACACCCCCTGGAGTAGTGGCAAAAACTTGGTATCCTTGAAAAGGCCAAACTTGCTTGTGCGCCCTGTGGTATTCTGGTGTGTCCATTAAGTGGGTTTCCTGGACGCAAATTATGTCCGACCATGTTCTTTCCCCCACCCCCCGCATTAGGTCCCACAACGCATTATTTTTTTTGGGGTTGCGGGATGCTAAACCGTTTACATTAATCGATCGAATATCAAAATCTGCATGTTGAAGAGTGTGTTTCCACTTTTTGTTTTTACCATACACCACTTCCACCCAGTGCATTATAGAACGTGTGTTTCCTTACCCCTCCCACTATCTGGTTTGAAACGGTGACCATTCTTGTGCTTCCCAGTCAACTCCCCTGTTAAGAATGTTCTTCGGAACTTCTTCCTCAGTATTGTACAGATACAGGTGAGTAGGTCGTCCGTCGACCAAATGTTACTGGGTTTATATAATACCCATATATTTATAAAAAGAAAAGAGAGACCCAACTTCGATTCGGTTCTAGAGATTCTAGATAGAACCAAGTTCGAAACCCAAAGAAAATATTCGAAACCCGAATCCAAACATATCCCACTTTCCCTTCTGTCGTCCATGCGACGGCGCTCCGCTATGAAACGAGTAAAAAAAAAAAAAACGTCCAAATTTGAAATTTTTTCTTTTGATTAAACACGAAACGAAATAAAAAGCAAAAGAAAAAAACCAACGCTTGAATAAAAATAAAATAAAAAGCCAAAAAAAAACACCCAACGCTTGAATCGTCGATCGTCGACAGCACCCTGCTATGACTTTCCCCAAGGTGTAGTACCCATAGATAGATAAAAAGAGAGACCCAAGTTCGATTTGATTTGATTTCTAGATAGACCTAAGTTGACTGGAAACGGAAAGAAAAGACAAAAAAAAAAAAAAAACCGCAAAGAAAAAAAAAAAAAAAAAAAAAGTCAGG